GAACTCCCCGTGACGAGCTGCATCGATTCGATACCCATTTTATGCAAAAATATTAACTTTGAAATTTGACCTAATTTGACCTGACCTTGACCTGACCTTGACCTGACCTTGACCAAAACGTGATCTAAGCTGGCCCCAAAGGCTGCCTGACCCATATAATCGCATTTGTCATGTAAAATGGACCATAAAACATGTATCACACGACACTTTCATATTGTGACCCCCCCGTGACCTGACCTCTGTGACCTGACCTGGTATCAGTGACCTCAAATAGCAAAATATGTGTTTGAAGAACATTTCCCCATCGATGATTTTCAATGAAATGCATTTTACTCGATTTTACAACGCATTTCTTGAAGTGCCTGTAAACGGTGAAAATTGGACCTTTGACCTGACCTGTGACGTCATCGGTTTGACCTAGGTCAATAAAATTGGGTCAAAAGGTAGTTCCCCGTTGGGGCTATCCAACACCGTTTACCGCTTGTCGCTATGTTGCGTGGTTCTCGAGATCTTAGGGGGGGGGGCCAAAATGGCCCCCCCCCCAACCGGGCGCGTTGCTCGGCAGAGCCCAACGGGGCGCGGGTTAAATTTGACCTTGAAGGGCAAAGGTCAAGGTCAAGGTCATGGTCACGGAGGCGGCCCACGGTGACGAGCTATCATGTATGACCACTTTTGGTTATCTTGCGCCCATAATTCGGGATGTTAACCGGTACCCCGTCCTTTGACCTCAAATTTGACCCTGAAGATGACCTTAAAAATCTGTTTTATATCCATTTTTGGAATCAGCGTGTCCTACTTGACCCAACTTGACCTGATAACGTCTTTTCAGCGAATTCTGAATCCAACGCTGAATCCGTCGCTGAATAGGTACGTACGTCGCTATCTTCACGGACGTTTAGTCATAAGAAAAAGAGTCGTGGCAAAATCACGGAAATGACACGCAAAATTACAAAAATTACCTTGCACAGCCGATCAGCGCCATTTCACCTTAATGACATAGTAATCTGATCATCAAGGATGTTTGTTTTACGAAAAAGTATAAGGGTGGGCGATATTACCCGATGCATGGCGTTCCCCGTCTTCCCCAATTCGTATATTAACCCTCGCCCGTATTGGTGTTTTTCCAGCCGCGAACGTATAAGGGGGGGTCCGTTGGACCCCCCCCCCCCTTTGCCGTTTCGCCCCTGATCGAGCTAGAGCTTCGCGGAAAAAACGAGCGTGTTGCCCGTGACGAGAGGAAGCCGATGATGCCCAATTTTAAGGTCCTAGGTCATTGGTTGACCTTGCAGGTCAGGTCAATGACCCCCAAGGCGGGAAAATCGGGACCTGTTAGAACGTCGTAAAGTGTGGCTGCTATGGGGTTTTTCGGGGCGCTGATCACGAATGTCATGCTAGTTTTGATCACAGATGATGTCTTCATGTATTTAGGCCAGGTCGGGTCAGGTCAGGTCAGGTCAACCAGTAAGGGTATTCGTAGTAGGTTGCAACCGCCTCTGACAGCTTCGTAACATGTTACGAAGGCACCAAAACTACTTCGTAAATGTTCATATGGTTGCTAAATTCGAATTCAGCTCCAAAAACTGGCCTAGAAACATGTAAAACTCGAAAAAGTGAACCGAGGTCATCAAAGGTCAATGACCTGACCTGACCTTCAGGTGACCTTGACAACCACCCTAATGCATGGGGGCAACATCATATCACATGTTTGAACGCTTGAAACCACGAAAAGACTGCAAACGCGCGGCTAATGCGAGCCGACATACGCCGAATCGCGATTCCAGCCAAACATGGTCTCGAAAAGTAGGTCACAGGTCAAAGGTCATTTGGGTCAGGGTCATGAAATTTTCAGGGTAGGTGTGAAATTGATGAACGCGAGGGTACTGAAAGTTTCGTCGCGATCGGCCGCTTTTTACGCGAGTTATTCGCGAAAAACCATGGGGGGGTCCGTTCGACCCCCCCCCCCCCTATACGGGCGAGGGTTAAATTTGTAATATCTTTAGATATCTAGGTATATAAATAAGTGATAATATACATACTACATAGTGATAATACGCAAGTCAACAAGCAAAGTAAACAAAATGTCATACAAGGTGGGGCAGCATAATCGGGAATGCTTTTTGAGCTCTGATCATGAGTATCCTATATGCATGGCAGTATTTTGATAAATTATATCATGACAACGAAACGTCCAAAAGTTGTGCATCATATGACATGACTACATCCATAAGCGTGCAACCTCCTGGAAAAGAGCAGCAAAATAGTTCGGCGGTGCTCCAAGTGCTTTGCGCATACCCATAGACACTAATGTTAAACGAGGATTTTGTTTAAAACCCTGTAATTCCACGTAAAGGCTGCTGGACAGGTCAACGTGCTATCACGGACGATAAGGGTTGTGTGTGAATACTCAGGACAAAAGGTTAACTTAATCCTCGTAAAATAGCTCGTAGCAGAGGACATACAGATGACTCGCTTGAATACCAGGAAGAAGCTCTGCATACCATAGGAATTGTATCGAGAACATTCCAGCGGTCATGCGAAGTTAACATCCTGGTGGGGTGATTGACGTATCATATGGGTGGTCTTCAAGGTAGGTGCACGTGGTGCACTGCACCCTATATACTTAATCGAACCCGGATAAAATGAGCACAGCTCCCGAGTTGAGGCGCCCCTAAACCCCAACACACACACACACACACACATAAAATGAGCCCCTCTGGTAAATACATCCGCACTCTGGCAGACTCACCTGAAGCCGTCGGAAGAGAGAATCACTGACGGTATGTACAGCCACCGGCAGCAAACTGCGTGGTAGGTAGGGGAAGTAGGGGGAACGCCGAATACTTTTTTCTGACGCCCGTAGCACGCAAGGTAGACAACATAAGCTATTCTTGTTGGCGTCATTCGAGAGGCCAGTCTTTTGTCTTTCAAACATACCAGGCGCATTTGATGAATTCGCATACCGTTAAGCGCAAAAACTAAAAATATCAAAGAACTGACTTTTTCGGCGTTGCCCCGGACTGCGGGGAAAGCCGAAAATGGGATAAATGATCTACGAGGAATGCAGACATTGATGTTTTGCCAATTTATCTCAACTTTATCCAAAATTCATCAAAGCTGACACGCGTTTTAAGAGCTTGAGGACGCTTGGTGCACACTGGAAGTTATAATTGTGTGATATAATAAGAAAATGCTAGGTAAATCATTCCTTATAGGTAGCACGCCGTTGTGCCGGCTGAAAGTGTAATTTGTTTGACTAAAAATACGCGTTGCTATTCTAGAGCAGTAAAGTCCACGTAGCGTGCTTTAACGTGCGTAATTGCACGTTTTCGGCATTACCCCAGCCAGCCATACTTTCATTTGCAGGCCCATAACTTTTAAACGTGCTGTATAGATTTCAAATAGGCAGCACACTTATGCAAAGACATGCTGAAGATTACTTGACCGAATTGGCCAGACAAACGGTAGCATAATGAGTAAGAAATGCAGCTTCAAAGGCGCATGTAGTACAAGGGAAACGCACCTTGAAAACGCCTTTGGCGCCCTCACAGCCGAAGTATTCCAAAAGACGACTCGTAACAAACATGCGATAATTGTAGTCACTTAAGCTTCAGAGCATCACTGAGACGTGGCATCCATGTCGTACGGTTTTAGAAATATCTCGAATTTCGGCTTTGCCCCAACTCCGGCATTGCCCCAACTTCCCCTATTCTTTTTTCGACAAAACCGAGAATAACGCGAATACTATGCCATCGGTCACTCGGAAATCGTAACAGTATGACGCGTGAGACTTCGCACCTTATTGGCATTATCATCGTGTTCATTTTCTATCCAGTTTGGCAACAAAATTCAAAAGTTTAGGTATATTTGCCCCCAAAACAGACTTTTGCATTTTGTTGCCACACAAGGCGTATACTTTGTCTAGTGATAGACCTAATCGAAGAAGTGGAGCATGGCGTATCTATTTGCAGTGAGTTCCGACCGACTGATAACATAGCATTTAAGTTATCACCGGTTTTGTCGAAAAAAGAATACCTACCACGCAGTCTTCTGAGGGCTGTACATTGTACAGCTCACGTCTTATACGAGGACTCTGTTCGTGCTATCTACTGGTACTGTTATGAGGACGACATGTTACCTATATTGTGTAGGGCACCTCGGCTCCAGCTGAGATGAACCAAAAACGTCTGGTCCTTCAACTCCGCTGATTTCAATCCGATCAAATTATTTACATGGAGCGTCTTTTGGTAGAAGGAACAGCTAATCATCAGTAAAGACGGTCTTCAGTGCAAGATACGAAGCTGATGGGCGATCAATTATCATGGACAAACAGGAGGTTGCACGTGCATGCGCGTGCTTTTGGACCCGCCTAGAGAAAGTCATCGATGCCGAGGGCGGTGAAATGGATTGAGGGATAAGTATAAGGTGACCAATTAATGGGATGCTGCTAAAATAGTGTTTGGAGCTGTGTTTTTAAATTCATCACCAAATAATCCTGTTTGATATTTATATGCTGCCCCACCCTGTAATACGTAGGAATATTATGAGGCGAGCTGTGTTCATGTTACGTGCTTGCTGCGAAAGTGATCAGTAAAAAAAACTCACTGCTAATGCCTATCTCAAATTGAATCAATGGAGTCCTGAGTTTATCTAATGTCATCGCTAGGGCCATCCGAGTCACTTTCAATGGCATCGTAGAAAGTACAAGTTCCCCTCCCTGCTTAGTTGATACACGAGTTGCATAAGACCAGACATCGAACTCCTCATTCATGACGAACCCGTTCGGAATTCTCAGCTCGCATCCTACCCCGCCCACCGATGACTCCGTCCCCACCCTAGGGGCGCAGTTCCGGCCCCGCCCACACCCCTATCCGCAGGCATACCAGCGTCTGGGGGCACAGCTGGTTGATCCGCCTCGTACGATCACGCCACTACTGTCAGCCAACGCGCGCGCGCCGCGCTGGGCCGGTCGGCGGGGCCGGGCAGGTGGCCGAGCGCCGGCCGGCCACCGACCAGTCAGTGCGCGCCGTCCGGCAGGAGCTCAGCCGCCGCGCCCGCTCCGCCGACCCACAATGACCGTGCCCGTGACCCGACTGCTGGCCGCCGCGCTGCTGCTGATCACCCTGCACCTGCACTCCGCCCAGGGTGAGTCCGCCACTCGGCACCAGCACGTGGCGACGGTGAGAGGTGCCGCATAGGTCGGTTGGTGACACCGAAAACCGGTTATTCTGATTCGCGCTCCGACCCCGGTGCGGGTCCGTTTCGAGGAAGACGACCGGTGAAGGTCCGGGCTGGTGTCGAATCGGCGCACTGTGCTGTCGTGAAAGTGGAAATGTCTCATTTTTTAGGACCAATCCATTAACCCTCGACGTCGGTAGTCTGTTCAAAAATTCAAATTTAACCGCAAATTTCCGTTTCCTTTTAAAACAGTACCTAGTTGAGCTGCTCCTACCTAACCATCGCACTTTTTTACAACAGTGCACTGTTGTATGCAGTGTTCAGACACTGCAGTGTCTGAAACACTGCCCCATTTGTCCCAGCTGTGGATGGTCATCGAGCCCCAGCTGTTTGCACCCCGTGACGTGGCGTGACACCGCGCGACGTGACGTTCTCTCTCACGGTCTCGTCGTCACGGTCTGGCGTCACTGAACGTTCCGCATGCCTTCTACAGAGCGTTGACCGCAACGTTCAACCGCTTCGATAGACACGTGCTAGTTTTTGTGACTGGTTGTTTGTCACTTGCCGACGATAGTTCCAATGCATGAAGCTGCAAATATTTTTTTTTGCAGTTTTATGAAAATTCCGTGGAAAACGTTGCACCAAATGGTACCGGACTGATAACCGCGCTTTCTCGACCCTCCCTCGCTCATTCGGTCTGCGCTCTGGTGCGTGTCTCTCTCCCATTCCTCGTCTTTGTCCTGCTCCGTCTCCCTTCGCCCCTTCTCTCCGGCCCCCTTCGCCGTCGCTCCCCAAGCGACTCGTCTCCGTCTCGGCTGTTGCTTTTTTAGCCGGCCCGCCGCTAACGGCCCGCCCGGCGCCGGCGGCCGGCTGACGGGGAGGCCCGGGCGGTCAGCAGATCTATGACGTCACCAGGTGGGGCTCCACGTGTCTTGCCGTGGGCGGGGCCGGCTGGCCGCGCGGCACCACTCGCGGTTTTCTGCACGGCGAGAGGCGCCAGCTCGACGGCCGGCCTTGCGACTGGCGCGGTCACCGCTCTACGGCAGTGTTTACACTCTGCAGGCTATGTCGTCTGGCGGGGTGACGCCATGACTGCCCACCCGTCTGTCATCGCTGCTGAGTCGTCTCAAATGAGGCGGAACAGACCACCGCGATGCCACAGCGGGCAGAGGCGAGCGGGCGACCTCGCGACGGGGACGGCCGGGCTCAACTCGACTGTCTCGAAGACGAACAGCCATTGTTGGGCTGTCGCGGCTCCGGTAGCCGGGTTGATGTGTCGGAAGGGTGTCGGGTTCGACGTGTCTGAACTGCCTGTCACCGGGAGCCGGGCCGGCCGGGTCAGAGAAGGCTGCAGCTGCCGGCTGGAGCTCCGAGCTCGGCGCCGAGCCAACGAGCTGACAGTGACAGCGGGGTGACAGAAGCGGCGGCGGCGACAGATCTGCCATGGCACCGCTCGAGGACGGCTGTGATCTGGGCCCGCCGACCTCGGGGTGACCTTTTAAAATTTAAGAAAATAATAAGTGAGACAGGACATGCTGAGTCCCCTTCCACGCCTGCAATTCTTCTCCGGCTTCTGATTGGTCCTCTGCTGCATCCGACATACATGCCTAATTCGCCGGAGGACGAGCTAACTATCGTCGCGACGCATTTAATTGGAGATTCTGCTAATGACCATATCAGCGATGAGTCGTTTCTCGATATGGGCGAGCTCATGGACTGCGCGCTGGTTCAGTTTGCCCTGGATTCACGACTATCTGACCAAGTTAATGGCGTGAGACGACGGCGGCTATTCTGGGACCAACTCTTGGATCAAGCCGCCACGAGGGCGCGGACCATTGCCAGTGGCGTGCACGGCTGCAGTAAACTTTGACGAGCGAAATCGGCCTTGGCTGGCGGCCTCTCGCTCTCCCGCCGCGGCCGCGCCCTCCCCCGACGCGGCCTGCGGCGCTCGCCCCCGCTCTCCCTCCCCTCCCGCGCCGTAGTCACTCTCTCGGCGCGGCCCGTCGGCGACCGCTGGCGGCCGGCTAAATAAAAAGGCAGGCGGCGTCGACGGTCAGCGTCGGCCGACGGAGCTGGCCCCACCCACTGACGTCGATCGCAGGACAGAAATAAACACAACACTGCGGGCGGCTGCCGGGTGGGACCGCGGTGTCAGCCCGCCCGACCCCGTCCCCGCTCCACTCTCACCACACGTCTCCACAGACAGGACACGGATGATATCTCGAGTCACGAGGTCGCACGATATTCCGTGGCCGAGCCACGAACCTTCGTGACGTCAAGGAGGGGTTGACGGAAATATGATACCGTCTCTATGTTTGTAATAGCAGACACGACCACGGGTCCACGACGCCACCGTTTTTTTTTTCAGACGTCCCAGCAGTTTTGAGACGACACAGAACTGCAAGTATGGCACGAGTATACGGCAAACCACACCCTGGCGTGGCTCGGTGAAAATTTACATACACGAAGCGGTTTCGAACAGCAGGATGCTCCGGCGCTGCGAGTCGCGATACCATTCGCCGTATTTCTATACCTGTCTCCAAGAAAGATTTAACTGAGCGCTATATTACAATCAAAACTCATGCATTGGCAGCAGTTTTCAGTTTGATTTTATAATTTCACCGCTGAAAATTGTCCGAAGCACGGCTGATTGTCTAGAATTCACTCGATCCTCGATCTATTGAACGCCTCTTTTTCGGGCGCTGCTTTGGGCGCGTTCTTATGCGGTTCGACCCGTGTAACGTATCTTTTACCGTACGTCTCTCATATAGGTCTGCGACGGCCCGTATTTTCTCTCGCCGGCGCGTCGCGGCCGCTGACGGCCGTATTCCTGATGGCGCCACTCCCATTCCTGTGCTGATGACATTATCATGTCCCCCCGCCTCCGCCCCCTCCCTTCACCCCCTCCCCCCACTCACCCTCACACCCGACCGACGACGACGCGTGCATTGGCTGATTGCATTCGATCCTCACTCACTGATAACACAAGCTTTTTGTAACGTGAAATTGATGACGTCACATCTCTGACGTCACATGACATCACGCTGATGATGATGACTCGACACGAACCGCGTGTGTAAACGCTGATGAGTCGTGTGTGCTAACGAGCCTGCCTCTGCCGTCCGGGTCACCATTATCGTCTGCTGACTAACGTCTGTGTCTGTCCGCAGGTCAGGCAGCGGTCTGCTCGTCCATTCAGTTCGCCTGCGCCAACAAGCGCTGTATTCCCAGCTCATGGGTGTGTGACGGCGAGAACGACTGTCTGGACGGCTCTGACGAGGATAAGGCCCACTGTGGAGGTAAGGAAGGAGGCTTCCCGGATATACCGAGAACGCCGCCGGCCGGGAACGGCACAATGAGCTGAAATGTCGCTATCCGAGTTATTCCATTGACAAGGTCACACATGGCTAATGTGTAGGTAGTGGATACTGCGGGAGGATCCCAAATACGCAGCCGTGAAGTGGCGAGAGGCCTACTGTGCCTTTCTTCAGCCTCGCAAAGCTTACTGCTTCGGTAGCGAATTTATACAGATTGCCTGTTTCCGTTCGCCATTTCAAGGGCGCATGGATTATCCAATATCCATTTTCACCTCTGTTCCACCTCGGTAATGGTATATTCATCATCGGTGAATGGATGGACCCACATCCGTCATTCGTGATGACCAGACTGATATATTCCAGTCTATTCGTCCGATCATCCATAACTCGATATCCGTCAGGAAGGTATTGTGATCCGCTGCTGGATTCCTTTTCTTATTCACTATCTCGTCAGGCATTAGTGAGATGGTTGATGCATTCCTTTCCTTATTCCCCCCCCCCCACCACCACCACTCGTAGATACGCGCAGCAGTTGGACCACCCGTTTTCCGATCGCTGCACTGGCCGGCAGAGGCGCCGACGGCCGTTTCGAATACCGTTCTCTGCGGTCAGCCTCAGCAGAGCCACTCCGCTCTGAGCGGTATTCCGACGGTGGCAGAAAACCGGCCGGTCACGGGCCCGCAGCAGTGGTGGTGGTCAGCGGTCATTGACTTCCGTTTGTCGTGCAGCGCTCGAACGCGACGCGTCACGACGCACAACGGAACGGAATGGATGGAACGGAATGGATGAAACCGTCACGGGTTGTGGTCACGGGGGATCGCTTCTAGTGCCAGGGTATAAGTAGTTATTTGTATTCCGTAAGGCCTTACATTGGCGTAGGTATGGCGCATGTGGGTTGGCGGGAATTCAATGCAGGCAAATTATTTTCATCAATAGGAAAGAGATGTCTCGCGGGGACTTTTATTTGCTTCCGAAAGGAAACCGATGCTCATTTGTCTCTGATGCGAGCGATCGAGAACGTAATTGATTCTGGTTCGAGAGGTATAATATGGGTCACTGTCTGGTAGAAATAACACTGCGCTCGTTTGATGATCCCGAAGTTTGAGGCTATATTGCTTCTTTAATGAGACAGTCGCCGTTTGATTTTCAAGCAGCAGCCATCTCTATGGCTGGCTAGTTTTAAAGTGGATCCACTTGTTTTTAAGAGCTGCGTCGGCGGCACTGATCCCACTGAAGTGGATGAGCTGTTTCGTCCCGTCATCCGGGGTGCCGGGCTCAAGTTTGAATGGGCCGGCGTCAATCAGGTGTCTGTTTTTATGGGACTCGGGTGCTCGGCTGGCACGTGTTTCCTGGCCGGCGCCGCTGTGGGCCAGTGGGCCACGGTCGGGAGTCTGTGGGCGACATCACAGCTGGGACGGACCGGCGACAGGCCGTCCGCCGGCGCCCCGAACTCCTGCCGACGTGCTGAGCCAGCTCGGCCGCCGACTCCGATACGATCCCCGATCCGGCCCGAGCGGCGCCAGTTTTCCCAAGTTGGCCGACGACTGCGCCCTATTATGTCGAGCGGGCTGACGGCGCTGTCTGACGGAGCTCTCGCCGACGTCGGAGGGCTTTCCGTCGTCCCAGTCGGCACCCATTCGGTCACTGATAGGATGATGATTCCAATCCTGAGAACAAACGTCCTCGGCCGCGCGGCGTCAAAGCCGGCCGGAGCTGCGAGCGGCGCCCGCGCGGCGGCGGCTGTGGCGCATCCGATGGTGGTGCGGAGGCGGCTCGGTCACGCGGATCTTTGCGTCGCCCGCGTCACGCGCGTCACTGACAGTCCACCCTGGAGGCCAGCCAAAAGTCGCCGCGCACCACGGCACGTGAATGGGTCTCGGTCGCGGCCGGCGGCCGGTGCAGGGGCGCCTAATTCTGGCCTGGGCAGCCCCGCCTGCCAGCTGTCTGCGCCGTGACAGCGCCCTTCTGCCACCCGCCTGCACCCCGGCAGGGCCGTCTGCCTGGCCTGGGCGCTGGTTCCGTCTGTCCCGGCACTGTCCAGTGCCCGATACCGCCCCATCGTGACAATCCGATCCGCTGACCTGACCTTTATCGACACCGCTGCCAGCGAACGTGATCGGCCGACATGGTCTGTGACGTCATCATGGCTGGGTCGCACGACGGTGGCGCGATCCTACGTCACAGGCTCAGAACGTGCACGAAAGCTGGCGGATCCTGGTATAACCATTGTGAAATGGGCCGACGTGACTCATAGCCAACACGAGACTTATGATTTCCGCGAGTCATGTGTTTGTAGTGACTGCGTGTGCCCAAATCGCATGCGTCACCGTGTGTGACTATGAATGGGATCGACTTATCGGCGCTTTTTCTGAAATATCTGCCCCGAGTGTGGGTGTTTCCTAATCTTGTAGACGTCGCTACTATTGGCTCGCCGCCCGGCCGTACCTTGTACTTTCATTCATCGATTACGCTAAATGATTGTTATGGCTTCCGTCAGCGCGGTGACGTGGCCCCACTTGAACCGTAATAGGTAAGTGGGACATTTTCTCAGTTGTTTTGGTGGATAGTTTCAGGACTCGTTGCCTCTGTGCGTTTGACACATTTGTTGTTTGTTTTTATGTGTTTTACATAAGTTCATCATTCCTTTGGTCGATTACCTTAAGCATTTTCCGTTTTATTTATTTATCTACCTGCTGGTGCTGACGATCGCAGCTGTCCTGGCCGTGACCGCGCGGGAATGCCGGACCTGCCGTGAGCTCCGCCGTCCAGCCGGCCGTGCGGTCGCTCCCCGCTCTCCGTCTGCGCCCCGCAGCGGTTCGCGGAGGATGCCGCGGCCCGTCTGCTGGCAGCCGCACGTGGAGGGCCGTCAATTGACGGAGCGAGGCCGGCGCGGCCGGCGCTCATTGGTCGACGCCGAGTCACGCCACCGCGTGACGCCGCGCGGCACCTGAGTGACGTCACGCCGCCAGCTGACGCCGGCCGGACACGCCCCCGCCCGGTGACGTGGCGCCGAGCGGCGTCAGGTGACGCCCGGAAAACGGGGCCGCTCCTCCGGGCTCTTCGACGATCCTCGGTGTTTACGCGCAGACAGATTGTTTACGGCTGTGGTCAAACCAACCCCTGGTGCTGTGTTTCTCCTTTCACTGGCTGACTGGACGCGTTATTCCACGCAAACCCCCCAATACCGCTGAGTCTGATGCCAGCGAAATGGCGCACCTCCGTCCGCCCGCGCCGCGCTGGCCGCGAGCCAGCGGTGGGCCGATTTTCGGCTCGCGTTCCCGACCCCGCTGTCGCCGGATGTCACAAACGGTTCGACGGCGGGCGGCGGATGCCAACGGGGCAGTTACACCCACCGATGCCCCAGACCGTCAGCGGCATCACGAGCATCACTCTGAAGTTAAGCACTGTGCAAACGGTGCAATTTGGGAGCCGTATTAGTCTCTCGACCTACATCGGATGCCGGTGACCTTCGTTGTGATGGCTGCGGGCCGACGCCCATCCGTCGTCCCACATCAGTGACGCTGGCCGTCACGGGCGCGTCTGGCACGCTATCGTTTCGAGGAGGTCCGATACGCACGAACAGACGCTGATATGCCGGTGTTGATCCCCACTGGTGCCACGTATTACATCGGCTTTAACCCTCGCCGGACCTATTGGTTTTCTACATACGCGCCGGCCGAGGGGGGGGGGGCGGGTACGACCCCCCCCCCCCTCGCCGTTTCGCCCCTGGTGGAGCTAGCGCGTCGCGGAAAAAACGAGCGTGTGCGCCGTTACGAGACGCAGAGATTGGTACCCGATTTTAAGGTCCTAGGTCAACCGGTGACCTCTGAGGTCAGGTCAAGTGCCCCAGGGTACGGTTCAGTTTTTGGTGAATAACTTCGCAAAAAACGGCCGCAGAGCCGCGATTTTGGCAGCATCGTGTTTGCCTTGCTCAGGCGCGTCGAATGATATACTTTTTGTTCGGGTCAGGTCAACTTAGGGTGTTGACCTCAGGTCAAGGTCAGGTCAGCACCCCCAGGTCACGAAGTTGGTCGAAAGAGGTCATGTCGCATATCATTCGATTCGGCAGGTCTTCCTGAGTCCATTGGTGGCTTTCCCGACTCGCTAGCTCAATTTGATCGGGAGTTATTGACGAAAAACTAATATGACCTTGATGACGTCATAAATGACGTCACAGAAGGTCAACATTGCAAAAGTGACGCATCTAACCTTGCAAGGAGTGCATCAAATCACGATTCTGTGTGCTTGAGATAGTTGGAGATCGTTTCCGGCGCCAGAATAGCAGTTTGAATTTTTCCCCATTGACTTATAATGGTGAGGTCACGAAAATGACCTGACCTCATATGACCTTTAGGAAAAATCCGAGATATACAAGTTGTGAGACTCATAATGGATACTAGATCCTGCAAGTTTCATTTCCCTGTGACATCTCCTCTGGCAGTGAGGGCGTTGCGAAGTTGCGACATCTGAAGACCGTGCAGAGGTTCACTTATGACGTCATAGGTCAGTGACCTGACCTGACCCAAAAATGCGGTTGGTGTCAAAAGATGCGGCTTGGATCAAAGGTCAGGTATGCCAAGTTTCAGCTCTCTATCGCCAGCGTGCTCGGAGCTATCGCGAAAAAACCCTATGGGGGGGCGGCACCCGCCCCCCCCCCTCGGCCGGCGAGGGTTAACGGTTTCCGATCAGACGCATGATTCAAATGGGCGTGGCGTAGGTCAGGTCCAATTTGCAAAGCAATTATAGATACGGTGATTGAAATCTGGGACTGCTGGGAATTGCATCCAGGTCCAATTAGCATATCTGACGTCAAACAATTCAGGCGCTGAATATAGATTTTAGCCGTGCGGTCAGACGGAAGGAAACTGTCCGTTCCAGTTCTAACTAAACTGACGGATATCGACCGACACTGCATGAACTCAGTAACTTTAGGCGCCTGACGAGTTGCCCTTTCTGCAGTCTGTTGAACTCGCTGCTGGCTC